GATGATTGTACATGAATTACTATATTATGTTTTTGCAAACAAAAATCAGTACCAGCACATGATATAAAGTATCAATTTATTATTTTCAAACCTTTTGGGTACTAATTGTCATTATGGTAAACCTTGGGTAGGTGTAAGTCCATAAATATATTGATATTTCCAATTAACATACACATATAGCATTTTAAACATTCATCTCTAGATGTAAATCAATCCGTGTGATTGGACCCGTTTACTTATTACAAAACAAACACACATTGACAACTGCAGAGCCGTAGGATCAGGTCTTCTTCTTCTTCCTTGAGCTTAGATCCTTTTAACACACTTGATATGTATATTTAACTTGACAGTTTCTGTCTTTGATACTAACGGACCACAACGTTTTGTGCTTTCCGTTACGTCCTGCAGCCGCAGTATTCCTTTTGAACCATAACGTAACTCTATCCTTGTACCGTTAGTTCAATAAACTGAAAGCTGGAACTTCAATTTTTGCTAAGAAACCCAACTTCTATCTGTCTTCATCATAACAGTAGATCTAATTAATTTGGTAAAGAAACGCGTATTCCACTCCACTCAAAACTCTAGTCTGTCGTGGAGTTTTAAACAATACATGAATATTTATGATGAATGATGTGAGAGGATAATTAATTATTTAAATCTGGAAATGTCGTGGAGTAACCAAATTAATTTGCTGAATGAAAAAGAGATCTCCTTATCAATCAATCAATGCCCTTTCAAAGATAGAAGTTTCTCATGTATACCTGCAAAGAAACAAGGGAACTTGCTATTAAAGTCACTAGGTCAACATCACAAAAACAATTAAATTCATGAAAAGCGACTTAAAGTCAACTACATCACTTTTATTATGAACACGGTGATGCAGAATAGTGAAATCTTCTCGAACTTTCATGGCATGACCAGAGAAATTTCTGAAATTTATAGAAAAAAATATATATAAGGAACTCATTGAAAGCGCATGCATATAAATTCTTGTTGAAGGTAGAAAAAGAACAAATTAAGTGCTAGCAATGGCAACTATCTTTTCAAAGTTTCTTACTGAAATGGATGTGACAAGAAGCTTAGTCATTCCAACCAATTTCATGGGTTTATTAGATTTTGAGAGAGGCCGTTTAATGGATATGCATGTTCACGATGACGCAGGTGGGCTGTGGATGTTTCGCTGCTCGGTTCAACAGAATGGCATTGTAGGAGATGTACTTTGTGTGGATTGGATTGAGTTTGTTCAGCATAAGAATGTTAAAGTTGAGGATAAGGTCATTTTTGTTATGGAAGATGAAGCAACGGGAGGAAGGATGAAGATTGAAGTGAAGAGAAAAATCAGATTATTTGGTCAGGATATATGGGCTGATGTTAAGTAATTGTAATTAATTAAGGAATCTTGTATCTCAGAAGTTCCTTAATTCAATTATCAAGTAATTAGTTTCCTCCCCTTAATTTAAAAGAAATTGAGCAAATCATAAATAAAGTTTGTTATTTTCATTAATTTTGTAAAAATTCTTTTATTTATTTTTGTTAATTTAGAAAATACCTAAGTGATTTGGGTTTGCACATATTTAAACATATCCTAATTGATCTAAGAAAATCAGAAAAATACCCTAATTGATTACTAGCCTCTAGCCAAGCCAAGAGTTCAATTAAAATTATACCTGAGAAAGCACCCTAATTGATATATTTAAATTAATTAAACTGGACACTGACTTGACCAAGAACATTCGGAGAAATAGTATTGGAGCAGGAAATAGATTAAAAGTATTAATTCTATCCTTGATCAAGCATTTGGTATTTAATAGAAGTTTAATCAAACACTACTTGAGAAAATGGATAATATTACACTTATAATCCAATCTCAAAACTCTAACGTGACAACTTGCAATTGGTTAGTTTGTAAATAGGTTCTGTCTGTCTAATTACGAACTAATCAATTATGAGTTGCTACTTCGGGGTTGTGAAAGAAAGTTTGCAAATGGATTTTCAGTGAACCTCTTTATTTTGTGCTTCATAATGCTTTAGTTACATAATTTCATGATTCTGAAGAAAGAATTGAGCTTCCTACAGAAAAATTGAATCATTTCTAGCTGTGAGATTAACAATAACTAAAAGATATAAAGCAAAAGATCTTCATCTGAAATAATATTTCTTGAAGCAGATAAAGTATCTGCAATTTCCTTCATCTATTGCATGCAACCTAAGAGCTTCTTTCTTTCTGGTTTAAAGATGTCTGGCATTTCAAGACACGACAAAATATAAGTTAGTTATATACTAGATCTTGAGGCAATTTTAATGGTCATAGTTCTACAATTTGTTTAATTCTTGCATGTCTATTGTGCTCATGGTTTCTGTTATGTTCTCTTCCGGATCGATTGATTTGATTCTCTACAGACCGAGGGAAAGCAAAAAAGTTTCGATCGAAATAGAGAAAGTTGTGCACATTATCTCTAATGTAACATTATTACATCAAACAGTGTGTTGTAGTGGATGCTAACGTCGAGCATGAGTTGGTCTATGCTCTACAAGTGTCTATCTTCCCAGAGGTTATATTCACTAAAGTTGGAATGATCTGATACCGAGAAAGAAGTTGATTTCCTTATTAAAGAAGTCTCTGGCTTTTTATGGGTCGACATAATGCTAATTATGATCTAAACTTCTATTTTGTTGGTTGTTTAGCAGTTTGATCTGCAGATGAATTGTAAAAAATGATGGCTTTCTTTTACTATGGAGCTGCCAACCTGTTTGAATGGTGTTGAAAATAGCTAAGAAATGATCCAATCTGTTATCATCAACAATCCAACAGAACTAAAACTATAGGAATTCATTGGAAGGACGTTCCTATGAAATGCCTTCTATACGAGGACTAATTATTGTGATGTATAGACAATGCCTAATTTATCGTAATTAAATTGAGGGTATACTACACTTACAAAGACTATATAAAATCTTCACATAAAGTGACGTGTCAAAATATGATCAGATGAATTAATATAAAAATCAAATTTTTATACTAATCATGATCATGTTTTCACACTTCACTTATGTAAAAGACCTTGTATAGAGTCTTTATGAGTATAGTATTATTTTTAAATTAATGTATTAGCATACTTTTAGTGCTATTACTAGTTGGCAGAAAAATAGAGCTCGAATGATTGCATATTCCTTTTAGCTTTGCTTTGTTTTTAATGGTCTCTGTTCTTTCCTATAATATAATTATCACAAAATGTCCAACTTCAACCTTGATGAAAGTAGCTTGATTAACACATGTTGCAAAAAATTGCAATAACTTACTATAGCTCAAATGACTTTCATACTCTGTTTAGAAAAACAGGATTTGAATAAGAGATATGAGATATGAAAATAAAGAGGCCAATAAGACAATACACACATAGAAACACCAAATTTACGTTGTTGGAAAAATTATGTTTACATCCACGGGATATAATCAAATGACTGAATTGAAGAATATAATAAAAATCTAATACCCTCATGTTAAACCCAAACCCGAACCCGAACCCAAACCCTTGTACACCCATCTCTCACTTTCCTTAACACTCTCTGTTTTATACACCAAATCCCAAAAAGCGAAGTCCTCACGATTCACAACACTCACTCTTCACCCAATAATTGAAGAGATAGTAGTGTGTGAAAACATTAATATGCTTTAGATGAAGAAACTGTCTCAATTCCTTGTTCTTATATTGCTGCCCGCCACTGCAATTCGGTTTCACATTCCACTATCATCTCAAAGTTCATGGTGCCATGGCACCACGATGAGGCCCAAGTTTGTGAAGCAAGATCTAGGGTTTGTGGCTTAACCCTCTTCAGGTTTTCTCCAAATCTCTAGATGTTGGTGTAGTGAACTTACTTTTCAACCTTGCAGCTAGATCACCTGAAAAAAAAAAAAAAAAAAAAAATTTGACACAACTGTAAAAATACGTGAAACATTGATACAAAGTACAATTACAACTTACAAATTTCCGAAGTGATGTAATGTTTTAAATCTCATCCATTTGCTTAGGAGATTTCCTGCCCTGCTTCTTTTATTTTTTTTTTTTTTTTTTTTTCTTTCTACAAGTTGATTAACAAGGGTCAAATATCAATATTTGTGCTGTAACTAGGCAAACCATCAACAAATAACAAATTTTTAGAGCGTTTCTAATAAGAAATTACTTAAGAGATGTGAGACCGTTTAGTTGATTTGGTAAGGACTTGAACTTATTAGATCCAGCAAGCCTTCTCTAGCAAAGATATATAAGCAGCACCTCCGATATCCAAAGTTCAATAAATGAGATACTAGAGATTTTTACTCTCTCTTATCGTGCAGAAAAGACACAAGCTTGTAATTTAAAGATCTCAAATGTACAAGAACTTCTTATCCAAGTTGGAAAATTCTTACCACATAGAAAATGATTGATCATAAGCCACTGTAGAAAGACATAAGCTAGACATTTATTCAAGTCTTTCATCCGAGGTGTGAAGTTGCATTGATTTCATCTCGACATTCTTAGGACTCACCTTGAATATTAACAAATACAAAGTAAGAAGACATGCTCTCCTGGAATAAAAGGGCAATGATGGTGGAAAAAAAAGAGGACCGAAAAAGAATATCCAGTGTTTGCACTCGATGAACATTGACTGGTTGTTCTGTTAAGTAGGATACATTGAGGTCCACTACTGTTTTCTCATCATTTGTGGACTCCATATGCAAACCAAGAGTGAGGTCCAAAATGTGTAATTAGATAGGCGAATGAAAATGATTTGAGATCATCACTTTTTAGGAGTTTAGATATATACAAATGGTGTCAAATATACTTACAAGAAGTTGGAGAAGGAAAATTTTAAGCCCTCCAAATGACTTGCATTGTTAATCTAAGTGTAGGGATCCTGCGCATAGTGTTGTTTGCGTAGAGAAAGTAAATAATGGTTTCTTAATAAGCTATAAAAAACCTAATGCATTTCACAACATCTCTTGCCCAAAACAAAAACATGTGCACCTTGATAATAGTTGGAACAGCTAGAAGCTCGAAATTATGTATTGTAGTTTCAACAAGGAATCCAAAGCTCCAAACCTGAAGCAAGAGTTAGGTTTTAAAAGTGCAAGTAGACATGCCAGTATTAACATTTACATCTAGAAAATTAGACATGCCAAGAGTTAGGTTTAAAAGTGCAAGTAGACATGCCAGTTATTAACATTTACATCTAGAAAATTAGATATGCCAAGAGTTAGGTTCTAACAGTTGCTTAAGTGAAGTTGGAGATAGCGGCACCTGAAAAAAAAAATCTGAAGGAAAAATTCATGCCAATAGTAGAACCCACGTCTAGAAAACATAGCAGCAATGATCTTTAGTAGATGTTTTATCAAAAATTGCATAGTGCTTACTTTTGTTACCTTTGAACCACAGGGTTGAGAAAATCTATTAGATGACAAAGTAGTAAAGTTTTGGAACAGAGGAACCACTTTCAATTTGCAAGTATTTTGTTATCAAAACAACAAAAAGTAGAATTAATAATCGTAGAATGGTTCAGATGTTAGACGTTGACAAGACCAAAAATTGAAAAAACGAAACAAGAACATAAATAATTTATTGTATTAAGAATTCCAGAAATTAGGATTTGTTCAAGTTCAAAGTTTTTCTTTTCAGTTACGTTTCACACACAAAGAGTGCCCAAATGCAGAATGGTACAGAGTACAGATTACAATCAATTTACTGAAAAAATATAAAATTTAATCATAAATATTGTGACAATTAATTTATGAAATTAGTAAATTTGGATTTGAATGTCAGATACAAGGTATTATGTTCAAGTTGACTAACAAATATTATAAGAAAAATTTTAAAAATTACCTGCACAAACCTCCACTGGTAGATTCTTGTTGATGATCATCTAGCAAGTTCAAATGAGATAATGACTTCGATCACTGAAAAATTAAGGCAGAAGCTCAAAAAATTTTCTATTAGATAAGAATCTAGATAATAATAGTGAGTTGTAATTAAGAAAATGACAAACCTTGGTTAATCAGATGATTCATCGCTTTATTCCTCCTTTGAATTGAAGATCAATTTGCTATCTATACGAACCTTGGGAATTGAGCAATCTTTGAGCAATATCTTTTTTTACCCTTGCTCCACTGTTTTGTTAGCATGGACAATCTTCAACCCATAAAGACAGAAGCGAGGATGGCAGACTTTGCAAGGATTTGAGTTTTGGGCATCCAGAATTTCCAATTTTCAAGGTTGCCTAGGGTGGAATGGATTTGAGCTTTGAGCAATCCTGAATGACCAATCTTCTAAGAGAGGTAAGGTGGTGAGATTTGGAATTGATTCGATCCTTGGGCAATTCCGAATGCCGAATTCTGTAAGAGATTTGAGGCTGCTGTGAGATTTGGAATTGATTCGATCCTTGGGCAATTCGAATGACGAAATCTGTAAGAGGTGAGGCTGCTGAGATTTAGAATTGATCGATCCTTGGACATCCATTATGCTCAATGCGTAAGAGAGGTGAGTCTTCCTTGTCCTCTTGTAAAATGGATGTTGCATCTCCACCTAATTTGAGTCTAATTAAGCTTGTGGGAACACCTTCTCTAACCAACAATTAGGACATCGTTCTATCTAAGAGAGTCGACACAAGAAAGATTTTGTAGACCTAGAGGTATGGATTCAAGATTTTCACAATCAACTAAATAACACTCTTAAGACAGTGCTTCCTTCGAAGGACCCATCGATTGATTTAGCTCTCTACAACCTTCAATGCGGAGGAATGTAAGAGCCTTAGGTAATACTGACATCTTGATAACGTTTTGAGCTCATAGCAGTAAAAATATATATCTCTTGGAGTGTATCAGGCAACTGACGTGGTGATGTGCATGTGAGAGAATGGCACCCATCATTCTTAATTCCTCGAGAAAGGAAGTACTTAAATCATCAAAATTTCAGTTTCTACAATTATATATCCGAAGCGCTTTAGAGATGAAGGTAGCATGCTACAATCAATGGATCTAGAGAATTACATTCCCAATAATCAATGTTTTCAGGTTCTTTAGCTTCAATCCTATAGGTAAGGATACTAGAGTTTGGCATTCGTGCAACCAAAGATCACTTAGATTGGGAAGAAAATTGGTGTTTTCAAAGAAAACAAAATCATTTTTACAATTCCATAATTCTAACTTTTTAAGGAAGGTGAGACCATGCATACCTCCCAGTGTTGATGACCTCTCAATATTAGGCAAATTTTGCCATGAATCCAAGATCTCATCACTGCCGGAATTGCTAAAGTTTCACTCTTTGGGATCCTTGCTTTAATTTACTTTAACCTCTGAAATATTTGAAGTCCCTGGAGAATATTTCAGCTTCAAAATTAATTGAACTGCCATGCACACCACTCCCTTACACATAATCAATACTACTTCGCATTCTTTGGCAAACTTGAGACTGATACCACCAACTTTGAACATCCTGAATAATAAATCTTTCCAATGAAGGAAGATGATCAGGAAATTCTCCAGTAAGTTTGGGACATTCTTCAATGCAAAGTTCACGGAGCTGAGCTAATCTTTCAACATCTTCTTTTCCTCTCCAAGTGTCCCAATGTTCCCATTCTCGCAAATTCTTAAAACGAAGAACCTCTAATGCTTCAAAGGCTTTGGAAATCTATTCTTTTTAGACTTGCCATTCCTTCGATGGTTAAGTCTTTAAGTGAGCTCAACATTTCAAGTGAAGGCAAGGATTGGCATTTTTCACAGTTTCTAATTTTAGGACCACCAAATTAGAGACTGATGCTGGATCTTTGAACCAAGACGGGAAACTTTTGACCACCATAGGCTTGATTGTGAGTTTGTTAAACTGCTGGAGGTTAGCTTGTCAATTACATGCATTTTCAATCCTGTGTCCGTGAGTCCTAAACAGTTGCTCTTCCCATTCTAGCAACAAGACTTTTAGATTGGTCTTATTGGTTAGTATTTGCCCCCCTATTTGCATTGGATCCGTCACATTCCCTAATTGGAAATGCAAAGCTCTCCTTGAAGAGACTTAAGCTCTTCAAATCTTCCAAATTCAAGCGATTCCTTCCCTACAATAAAGTTAGACAACACCGGAGATTTTCAACTCTTTCATCTTGAGGCATCTCTTTCAATGAATTTGACCACTTATATCAAGATGATATAAAATTGGTCAAATATCTCATGTTGAAAGGTAAATTCACAAGACGAGAACAACCTTTTAATAATAAAGTTTGCAAATTAAATATGGCTTGTTGACTCAGGCAAACTTTGATCTAGTGTAAGAAAAATTGAGATGCCTTAGTGTATCAAATCTCCAATTGAATCAGGTAAATGAGGTGATGTAACATCTTTCTAAGGATAATTCTCCAACTTTTTTAACTTTGGCACCAAATCAAAAATAACCGTAGCACTCATATAATGGTCACTATCACCGTATGATTAGGTCTCATGAATACCGGCAAGAATGTTCTTAGACTCTAGTTTTTCCAAGCCTTTAAATTTCTTTTTCCCATTGATAAAATCAGGAAGATAAGAAAAATAACGATCCTTTGAAAATTTTCTGGTAGCTCATATTGGCTTTCTCAGATCTGAGACTTATTTCTTAAAAACAGATTCAGCTAGATCATGGATAAGATCATGCATTACATAATAGAACTATGGCTACTCGATTTTGTTAAAAGTGATCTTGAACATAAATCATGAAAATACTCACCAGCCTTATCGAATGCTATCAGATTGTTGAACTATACCTTCTGCCATCCATAAAAGTACAAGTTCATTCTCCTTGAATTCGTAATCTTTAGGGAAAACTGCACAGTAGGCGAAACATCTTTTTAGATCGAAGGAAGATAATGAGAAACTTAGCCTTAGTGCTGGGAGATTTGATCACTTTCATTTGATGTACTCCATATTGCTGTTTAATATTTTTTCCCAGAATCCACGGTTTAGAATGGAGAAGACCACCGAGAGTCTTTGCTGCTAGAGGTAGGCCTCTGCTCTTTGATAAGTCCCTCACGAATCGAATGGTGAATTTCATGAGCCTCGGCCATGGAACCATCACCGAATGCCTGTTCTTGAAACAATTGCCAACAATGACATCAGTATTGGCTTTAAAGGATAAGTAACAAAGGATCTTGCTGCAGATGCAACATTTTCAAGGCGTGTGTGATGATCATGGTGCTTCCGGGTGCACCAGCCTGAAGGGAGCCTTGAGGATTTCCATTTGTCATAGTCGTCACTCCAGACATCATCTAAGACCAGTAGAATTTTTCTGATTTACTGTGTCCCGCAATTAAGTTGCACTTCATTTAAATGATTTGGAATAGAGGGTGAGGAGTCTATGGACTCAAGAATTGCCTTGAAATTGTCAGAACATCAAAGTGTTTGAAACAACAGACCCATGCCTTTTTATCAAACTAAAATCTTCCAGCACCTGCATGTGATTGTATATTTCCGAGCAATCGTTGTTTTACCGACCCTCCCCTGCCGACGATGGCTATCACTCGAAAGTTGGCACCACTTGGTTGAGCGCTTTTCACCCTGTCAAGTAGTTTGGCTTCATCTTCATCTCGCCATGAACAACGTTCAGGTGGGACGCTTGAAGTTTCCTCTGGTCTTTGCGGTGCAGCGACCGTTACTTGATGTCCCTCCAGAAACTACTTGCATTTCATGTTCAGCTGATCTTTTCTGCTGCAGTTGCTCCAAGCGGCAAGTGATGTCTTTGATCTTGGACCCCATGTGAAAGGGACTAGGGAAAGAAGCACGGAGGAAGCTCATAACCTTGCAAGGGCTCGGCTGGTGTTCTGCCTTCAGTTTGCATTGCAAAGCTTTGTAGGCAAACTCATCCAGTATGTCCTCCGCATCATAAGCCCAGTCTTGAAGATCGTCAAGCCACCTTTTCACAGCCGCATTATTATTCAATTTTTTTTCTTCTGCGTCGCTGAGTTGGTCTTGAACCGTCTCCAACATACGTTTCAGCTTGTCTAGCTCTGAATCTACCCCTCCAACAAGGTTCCGGGCAAAGACTCGCACTTCATTGGACCCCAAAATCTTAAACAACCCCTTAAAGAGTTCAGAGACCACAGACTCAATAACAAATTCCATGGTTTCGATTGTTGGAACAAGGAGAGAAGGATGAGAGAAAGCAAGAAAAACTGGTTAATTTTCTCTTAGAGTGATTAAAACCGAACTCAAAATACAAGAATAATTTCCTATTTAGTGGCGGGCACCACAAAAATTACTTTGATTATTGGATAAATAAATACCTTGCTTGAGCAGACAATATTTGCTTTATTCTTCAGCATTCTCAGATAAAGAATGGAGATTCTTTCATGATCATCAACTTTTGGTTGTGTGATTGTGAAGCCTTCTGGTTAATCAACTATGATGGCAATTAATATATAGTTTTATTCTTTCTCTTTGTCCTCAGCCATTTTGCTTTCTTTATCTTTAATCTTTCTTCATGATTTGCTTTACTGAATGGAGAAGTTTGGCTCGGAAAATGCATGATACTGCTAGACCAATCCCAAAGATTACATTATTTCTTCAACCATTTTTTTTTTTTTTTTTAAATATAGTGTAGATGATTACTTATCTCAAAGATTGAAAGCAAAGAACTCAACTTTACTTTACTTAATTGGGTCCTTGAATCATATTCTTTCTTTGGGAATGCTTTAATTTTCTTTATTCTTAAAGAGTTATTTACATCTCATGCCTTTAAAAAATATAAAGAATGTATTCCTTCCCCTGCATTTGAAGCTATGTAACAGGGGAGACTAATGAATTCCTCTGCTCCTTTCTGCACTCAGGATTACAAAATCTCCAACAACAAATGTTAAAATTACAGGTAGCTGAGGTAACACTTGAAAATTGAAATGAAAACTTGTTTAAGAAAACAGAGGAATTTTTAAGCCCCCTTAGTTGAGGTAACACTTGAAAAGAAGACTTGTTTAAGCTAATTAGTATAACCGCTATTCATGAATGTAGATGATTTCAACCACTTAGCATCATGAATGTGTTATAGTCTCAAAGCTCCTCGTATGCTTCTTTATGATTTAGTGATCCCTCCTTTCC